CTCTGTCTTTGTCATTGAGTTCTACCTGGATTCTATCCTCTTGCATATATATATATATACATATATATATATATATATATATATATATATATATATATATATATATATAATTAAATAAAAAAATTATAACATAAGTATGTTATAACTTATGTTATAATTTTTTATAAATAATAATTATATCTATCTACTTTTTGCATTGAGCACTCTTTTAAAGCATAGTAATTGTTGGTTATTGGAATTCATTCCGTATATTATATACAATATATATATATATATATATATATATATATATATATATATATATATATATATATATATGTGTGTGTGTGTGTGTGTGTGTGTGTGTGTGTGTGTGTGTGTCCGTTGGTATGTAATCCAAGTGAATCCTAATAATATAAAAGCTTAAAACTGATCCACAAAAAGGGTCAATGTAGTTATAACAGAGCATATAAATTACATAGATAGAAATTCAATTTTATCTCATTCGAATAGCTATTACAAGAAACAAGAAACAAGAAGACCTATATTGGCATTGTCAAATCAGAGGTATGAAGGAATAAATTCACACCTTTGTCTTCGTATGTTCCTTCTTTCTTACTTTCTTTTTCTTTCTTTTATCTTTCCTTTTTTTCCTATTCATGTAGATCTTTAAATATATATATATATATATATATATATATATATATATATATATATATATATATATATATATATATTCGAACCTAAAAAAGGTTTTTTAGGAAAATAATGTTAAGATCAACTATAGCTGCGTGAATAGCATCAATTAATCTATATCCAAACATAACAATATTATATTAAACAAATATATGCCCAACGTACACAACACAGTTAATCTTTTAAAAAATAAATGCAACTGCCGAAAAAAAAGATCTATCCTTTAAACGGTCAATGTATGTTTGGTAATATTGTATACCGAGCTAGCATACATTCTGGTAACGATTTCAAATTTTATTTTGTCCCACTAAAAATCCTTGGAAATCTCGTTTCTGTTACCACGGAATGAATTGAGACAATATAAAATGCGTAAAGAGCACAGCTTTCTCTAAACATTCCTGGCATTTCAAAAATGGTGGTAATATATCTATTTTTATTATTTGGGATATTCTAGAAAGAGCCAAATTTTACAAATGGGAAGGCAATTGGAAAGTTAATTGGAATTAAATTATGTAGAAATTGTTCAAATGTTCTATATGCCCGAGTACTTTCGGTCATACCTTACATATAATATAATATAATCTACATCCAGAAGATTATAAGAGCATAATACGTAACAGAATTAAATTGTCATTCGCTTTAATGTAACTTGTATAAAACAGAGGTTGCTAGACAAATACACAAATTACCCCCATATATATATATATATATATATATATATATATATATATATATATATATATATATATATATATAACGTGGGATGTATAAATTGTTGCCATTTTATATTTTTAATTTCGCGCATGCGCCTTGTTTTTTTTATTTTATCAACTGCACACTAGAGTAGGGTCAGTTGGACATTGGGCGAAAAAGACGCAATTCACTTCATCAGAAATTAGGACACAGCATGCTGTACGTCTTGGCAATCGCGCCGGAAGCTTCAATACGAACATTTCAGAGTGTTTAGATGTCAATCTGATAATTCGAAAAGTGTTGGATGAGAGTCTAATCAGTGATCACCAAGGTGATTGGATTGATCCCTAGTGATGGTGATGTTATGCCTCAATTCATCTTCCCACGGGGCCTCAGACTCAACTTGGAGACCTACATCATGTGCCTTGAGGGGTTAATGCTACCCTGGGTCAAGATGGTGGTTGCTGAAAGACATTATGCCTGTCAGCAGGAATCTCCACCATGTCACACAAGCAGGAGTATCGAGTCATGACTGTCAAACAATTTCTGCGAACACATCACCCCTTACATCTAGCCACCTAGCTCCCCAGACAGCAACGCAAACCCATTATGTGCGGTAGGGCAGTTGACCCAACAAAACTCCTTATAACACCAAAGATGAAAGCAAAGATTATGACAACATTGACCAACATAAACAAGAAGACCGTCCTGAAGAGTTGCAGGAGATTCCAAAGTCATTTGGGAGATGTGGTTGAAGCCAATGGCGATTTTGTTGAAAAAATTTACTCCTTTCAAGATATTTTTGTATAATTTTGGTAAATATATCTGTTAAAATGGCATGTAAGTGTCATTTTCATTTTTGCGTAATTTTGACGACACTTTATTCATCGTGTCCTGTATGTATATATGTGTGCGTGTGCGTCTATACGTCTATGTATTTTATTCTTAGGAAAGATGTAAAATACACAATGTGGCTGTTTTAATACACGTTCATTGAGCGCTATTCAATTTAATTTTATTGTCTTTACTCGTATACAACGGCGTTATTATTCAAAATAAAAGCGTTTTAGACATTTGAATATCTCCTTTAGTTTTTAAAGGCAGGCTTAATTTATATTACTTTTTCCGATTACAAAACAACCCCAGCCGTAAACTGCCAAGTAAAGCAATAGGAAATAGTACACATACAAAACGTAATGAAATTTCAACTGTCCATAAGTGAACTTTCCCTAATTCTTTTCTAGTATTTTATTTAATATTGGAGCTCAAAGAAAGGCGATCTTCGACCTGGGTAAAGTTTTCTAATACGCAGTGTACTATCAGAAAAAAAATCAGTTGTCTGTGAATGCAAGCAGGCTAGCAAGCGGTACAGTAGTCAATGGGAGATATGACTAGGCTGGAAAAATCAATAAAGCCAACTAAAGTTATACAGCGGCCACCATTTTCTAATACGGCCCACTCGACAGGCGACTTCACAACAGAAAATTTAACGAAAAGTCAATAACACAACTGCCACGTCTTCTGCAACAACAATGGCTATGATTTCTTGAACGAATTTTCACATTTCAAAGCATGTCTGGAACCGTACTCGACCTGTAATCTCAAAATGCCAAAGATGATGTTAATACGGTCTTCTTGGACAGATGAAGCGATCAGCTCAGAAATCAAATGAAAGAAAAGTGACAAAAGGGAAAACGAAACAAATAAATGTCATATCTTTTTTTTAAGGTTTTATCTTTAATTAAGTATCGAAAAATGGAGTTTGCGAACGAGTAGACATGTGAAGCAAGCTGAAACTAGGGACAACAATGTGACGAAAATGCATGCTTATAATAAGGATAGAGAAAAAAAAGATATATGAACTGGACAAAACCTCATTGGAATCTATTCACTGAAGAGAGAGAAAGAAAAAGAAATAGAGAGAGAGAGAGTGGGGAAGAAATAGAAAGAGAAAGAGACAGAGGAGGGAGAAGGTAAGAAAAGGTGAAAAAGAAATTGACGGACAAAAAGAGATGTTAGCCATGATATGAAAGTTTATTATTTGAACATCGTAACAGGAATGGAGTTAAAGTCACAATAACAAGATAGTTGACGTCATTTAGTGGCATCATCGCTGATCACTTGTTTGATCATCGTCTTCTATGTATCGTGCTTGGGCGATCATAGCTCTCCACGCCTTCTTCTCCTTCGTAGCTCTAAGCTGGTTTTATTTCTTCTTACTACTTCTCCCAGTCCAAATTCCAGCATCGTTAGATAGGTTACTTGATAATTCCCTTTGCTCCCTTGCCTTCAATTTGAGCTTGTGAGTGACAAATTCTCCAAGCCCTCTTTCCAATTCCACTTCCTTTTCGGTCACCTTTTACTTAATATTAATTTACTGGTCATAAGCTCCATCCATAAATATTCATAGCATCCTTCTGGGAAATCACAGTCCCCTCTTGGTTCACGGCCATATCACGTTTAAATTGTGGTTCCCTTACGGTCGCCGAAGTTAAACAATGTCGATTACCTAGATTACTGACTGCTTGGGAAAACAAGGCGTTGCAAGCTTGGATGTGCGGGTGGTGTGAGGGATACTGGCTCAGAATTGTTAATAGGAGAACCGAGTTCTCATTCCCACTGGGAGCGTTATATTCATTTACGCGCAAATACCCTTGATTCCATCTATTCTCCTCCAGCTATGGTTAATTAATAAGATAATTGAACCATTATTATCTCCAAAAAAAGAAAACAACATTATTACAATCTAAAAAAAAGAAATTTTCTGGCTTTAAATAACCTACAAAGGGTCGATAAGCCATTAAAAAAAAACGATTCAATAAATTACAATTTCCTTCACATCGCTGAGGATATTGTTCAGCATTCATTGCTATATAGGGTAACTGATATTACATAGCAGTTCAGTACTTTTTTCTTTGTCTCTAACGAAAATTTGCCGTTTCTTAATATTTTATTTAGCCTTAGAAAAACGTCTTTCGCTATTCCAATGCACCTGAAGATATTCGTGCTCTGTTTTTTTGTTTTGTTTTTGTTTTTGTTTTGTTTTGTTTTTTATCCTGTGACCCGCAGAGTCTTAGGTGCACCACATGTATTTCAGCCGCAGTAGAATAGGTGTTTCTTGGGCTAGATAGCCTGACGAGCCCCGACCCACTCAAGAACAGATTGGAATTATCTCCCTTTAGCTCGGTTGCCACCCAAGGCTATAGAGCTCAGTCTTTTCTGTTATTTATCCTTAGGTGAAGGGAGAAGAAGATTCATACCTTACCCAAGGGTACAAGCACGTAAGTGAATGTAATGGATCCGACAGGAATTCGAGTTTTGCATTTTGAACTCTCCCGTTTACTGAGGGCCATACATTCTCTCTTTTTGATTGATTGACTGACTGGTTAATTGTTTTTTACGACTTAACAACCTTTTGCAGGCTATTTAAAGTCGGAAATTATTTTTAGATTGTAAGACTATTTTGAAGATAATAATTATTTCACTGATACAATTCCATATGAGTGGGGATAGAAAGTAGATTCATACTTTTACCAACTAACTGAATTTAAAATAACCCGACTGGAATTAGAACTTTGCTCTCCGATTTCTAATTGAGAGCCCTTATCCATTATATTACTCGCTCATCCAAGCTTGCAACACCTGGTATTCAAAAGAGGTTACCCATCTACATAGTGACCAGGCTCGACGTAGTTTAACTTCGGTGATCGTACGAGAACTGATGTTTGAATGTGATTTGCGTGTAAGCCATACTCTGCTTGCACCCAAACTTACAGCACCTGGTATTTGAATGAGGTTACCTATCTAGGTAGTAACCAGGTTCGACGTTGCTTAACTTATTTGATCGTACGAGAACCAATATTTGAACGTGATATATCCATGAGTCTCCGTCTTTTTACAATTGGATCTAAATTTTTCTAATCGTTTTCCTTCACTCCCTTGTTGGGGAGCTAAATTTATATATCCCCTTTAGGGAAGTGTTATTTTCTACTTTCGCTCAGTGTTCCTCTTTTTTTTTTTATTATTCCTTGACATTAAAAATTTTCTCGTCAGATTCTACTGAAAATAATGCCAAAAGATATACGTTTATATTCTTATGAGAATCCTACATTTAAATATTAATAGAATGTGAACATCTGGGTGACGTTCGTTGTAATTTCGTGCAGGTCGTCTGAGAAATTCGTTTCTTGATTTTTGCAGATGACAGTCTCATTTGTTCTGGGAAAATGACCTTTGCCCTTGTATGAGTGGCACTGTCAGAGTTGAAGTGGGAAATTAGTGAATTGGCAGGGCAATAATTGATGACGTTGTTGAAAAAAAATCTGGGATGAATGAAAAAAAAAAACTATATTAGAATCATCTAAAAACTTCGCAAAATGTCAGCAACTTCGATTGCAAAAGAAGACGGAAGTATAACACTTCCTCTTCCGGTCTCACGCTTTGTAGTCATTGGCTTCCTTCTCGTATTGGTTAGATTTTCAACAGAAATGACATAGGCTGAACAAGCCTTACACAAAAATGGTTGCAAGTGTTTGATTTATATGCAATTGCTATGAGAATTAATGTTACTGAAATCCGAATGTGCATGGGAAAAGTGAAAGATGCCTTCTAAAATCAAAGCAGATTATTAAGAAACAGGAAACTTTGGTTAGAAATGAAGAAAAGAGTTATAAATATTTATGTTATATCAGCCCTCCTACAATAGCAGTGAATGCTGGACAGAAGATTGACATTAGAAAAGACATTAGCCAACTATGTTGTTCTAGAGAAAAAAGGCTGAGAATAACATGGACTGAACATATGAGTAATGAGGAAATTTTTATAAAAAAGGATCCTGATAGAATCACAAAGTTGGAGTTGAAATTTCTAGGACGCATAAGAAAAGACAGTTTGGAGAATTTGGCACTCTCATGTCAGAGGCAAAACAACGCATAACCTACATAACGAATTCTTGGAAATGGATGGCAGGCCACTGTGGGGGGGGGATAATGAGAAAACAAAATTTAAAAAGAAGAAGAAAAATAAGAAAGGAAAGGCGAAGAAGAATAAGAAGTTTATAAACGTAGGGAATTTTGATATGAATACAGCTTCAATATATTGTTGTGCTTACATAATACGACACGTATTTTGGTCTGTAATGTATGAATTAGAGTTATCTCCCTTTTATTGTCGATTTATATACTGATTTCTAATAAGTACTTAACAAAATATGCGGTCATTTTATGATCTGGATAAACTAGTTTATTATAGATACCCTCTTGTATTCGAGGATACCTGTCTCCTAGGGTGGCTAGACAATTCCTATTGCAGACGCTTGCTCAGGCGCATTTGTGCTTATTCAACACCCACAGAGCCCAGCTCCAACTATGCTGAGCAGACGTTAGTTAAAGTTTCTGGGAAAGTGCGGGTTATCTAGCGTGATCAACAATTTGAAAAAGACCAGCATGTCATCCACCCCGATGGAATTTGAGCTCGTCTACCCAATTTCACTTGGCTTGGGTCACCCCTTGGTATAGTTTTCAAGCACTTTCCAAAGGTGCCGCACGCTGGGACAGGCTCTTTCAGTCTGATAACATCAGGAAGTCTTCTTCCTGACAAATCGACCATGGTGAGATTCGAACCCGGCTCTCATGGTCCGAATGCGAACATTCTAACCACTCGGCCACAAGTATATTTATTTAAAATCTCACAGGTGAAAAACTAGTTATAGTCATTTTGTTTAAATTGGGAAACTTATTCTTTATGTGCTGTGTCCTCGCAGGACGTAGGCGATCATGGCTCTCCACTACTTCCTTGTAACTCTGAATAAATTTTGTCTTTCTAATATTTCTCCTAAGGCCTAGTCCGTCACCCATTTACTCATGTTTATTATATGATGCGTTTTTTTCTCTGTCTCTATTACTTTCAATCTGTCCTGTGAGTATCAGATTTTCCAACCCTTCTTTCCTCATTATGTGCCCTAGAAACCTCAACTGTCTTTCTTGATGTTAAGTATCAGTTTCTTTCGGATGCAATCTGATAGGTGTGTGTGTGTGTGTGTGTGTGTGTGTGTGTGTGTGTGTGTGTGTGTGTGTGTGTGTGTGTAAATGATCGGTAATTGAGCTATTGTAAATTAAGTAACATTATTTAAGTTTCTTGTTCAGGTCAACTGGGGTTGTGATTTCATTATCACATTTCTAAGAAAAAAAAATTCGTCTTGTTTATAGTTAACACGTCTTTGGCTTTTATAGAAGATCTTAATGTTATAGTTTTTATCTGTATGTTTAGTATCGTTATTAATTATATTATTACACTGGTGGTCGATGAGGTAATTACAAAAACCATTCTTAACTCGTGTCTGTTTTACATTATTGAGTTCTTTAAGGAAA